CAAAGTCTACACCTGCTGCGTTAGCTGGTGCCTTTGTACATATATTGAGCCAGCAGCGAATCATAGAGCAAAATGCTACAGTGCTGACTTTCTTCGTTCTTGGGAGTACTTTGTTCAAGCTCGCCATTCAGGAAAGCACCAAGCGTTATATTCTCCAGAAACGTATCCGAAATATCAAATTCATGTGCGCTGCTGTTGCATTACCAACTGTGCTTATTGACACGCAAACTCGAATTATTCTCCTTGGGGCAAAAAATACTCAATTAGTTGCTATGGGGACAATTGGAATGGCGTTCGTCGAGATATTTCTACGTTTAGGAAAAGCTGGGTTAATTATGCGGACAGTTCGTTGTCGCGAAGCTAACCTTTTGGCTGTTAGAAAAACAAAACTTGCGATTATTCCTCATCCTGTCTCGACTATTGAAGGCAGCTCGCCTTCGCCAGTTAGAGTGGATTTCGAACTGTGGCGCAGGCGTCTTCACGCGTATCATATCGCTGAGATCAATGCTGATACTTACGCTGAATATATTGCTATCGGTTGTTCGGCTTCCATCCTGTTTTTCTTCGGTGATCATCCGTATTATTCTTTACTAAGACAACCAGACACTGTGAATCACCGGTCGACGCAACTGAAAATGCTGCTGTTCCAAGTTGTGGTGGAGATGGTCGTCGACTTTGTTTCTTCTCTACTTGAAATGATGGCAGGCATTGAGTTCGAGCTGATGAAGAACCTCGGGCCTTTCCTCATGGTCTTGTTCATGATTACTGCAGTTCTGAACATCAATATATCAGTTGGAATTTATCTGTTTTAAGTTTCTAGCTCACGTTAATCTTCACATTCATCTCCAAATGACCTCCAGCCGACGATCGTGGGATCCACAGCAGTAGTGAGCCTCCTCCCGATCCAGGAATACCAAGAAAACCTGGTCGCCAACGATCGAGATACGTGGTTTTGTCTTGCAGTGCACCCACAGTCGACGTCCATACCACAGTCTCTCCATTTCCTACTTTCACCTCTGCAACCGCGTCGCCTCCTGAATGAACAACAACAGTCACGTCTTCGGTATCTGTGCTAACAAACGTGAGTTGGACAACACCGTCGCCTGCTTTTTTCCACGTGCCGTCGCTGCCGGCAAAGGCGTCGTCTTTAGTCTTGAGTCCCAGAGCATCGGCGAGTGATCCATCATCAATCTCACCCAGGAACTCTGTGGGTCCACAAATCGGCTGTACGAACTGCGACGTCATGTATGTGATTCCTGTAGGGTCCATAGATGAAAGTACTAGTAGACCCATGTTCGAGACCTGGAGCATATACTCATCAGCAGTGAGCGAGGCTCCCAAGTCAGTTTTGGACTTGTCGATCAGCTGGTCGATGATAACTCCGAATGATTTACGAAGCACGTCGCGAGATTCGTATGCTGCCTCTTTCGTTTTAGTAAGGAGAAGCTCACCCAGACATTCGTTTGTCACAATGGGCACATCATTCAGTACCAGTGGTGAACGACCCATGAACGATCGGATATCCTCCTTTGAAATGTCCGGTGTCTTTACGCGAAGATCGTTCACAGAGGAGATAACGCGGTCTGTCAGCCTCTTTAGCTTGTAGCCACACGTTGAACCCGACTCAATCAATGTGGTGAGATTGGTGATACTCTCGTTGTCGAGTTCTTTGGTCACATTGGTACCGTCCGTCGTCTGCAAGAACTTCATAAATTCATCTGCTGAGCTCAAGACGGTGTCACGG